TGTGTTTCATCAATTTTTCCTAAACCAACTCAAACGTATACCAAACTATCTGATTATGAATCTAAGATGATTAATATATTTTTATATAATTTTATGATGGGTAATTATCAGAATTAAATATTTTTGTAATACATTTTGTAATCAAGTGTATAGGTTAATTTCGAGTGTAACTTAGTCAAATTCAATTAAACTAACCTGATTTTGGTAGAATCATTAAGATATGAATTTATTATGCTTAGTATTAATTTATATATTTTTAAAGATTTTTTAAGATTAATCAACAAAATTAAAGTTTTTATTATAGGTTCTATGATCTAGTGTAACTTAATTTAATTTCAATTGTAATTCGATCAACTTTCACTAAATTAATTAAAAGTTTTGCATGATCAATAAGAATGATTATAAGATGGTGATTACCACTTTATTATATTTGATAATTTTATTATAATTGTAAGATGATGATTATCATTTTGTTATATTTGATAATTTTATTATAATTCAATAACATATATGATCAAATTATTTAATAAAAGTGAGAAAATATTTTCATCGAGAAAGGGTGCCCCTATTAAAAATGAATATGGGGGGCACCCTTTGAGTAAAAAAAATATAGAATATAAGAGGCGCCATTAAATAATGGAGCTTAATTTGCAAAGATTCAAAACATGTCAATTTAACATAACTGACTTAGAAAATTATATATTTTCCCTATTACAGAATATAAATAACGTTAAAAATATTAAATATTTATAATAAATTTTAAAAACTATTTATCGTCTCATCATCTTCGATCTTTAGTTCATCTTATTTCATCATTTATTTTTTTTATCATTTTACATCACCTCTAGTGATTAAAAGAAGAAAAAGAGAAACAAAAGGATGAAAAAGGGGTTGTAGATAAAGAGTGAAAATATTTTATTAAAATTAAGTTATAAATTGAGTGCTTATACATTTATTTACAAAGAGATAACTTAGAAATATTCAGAATTCTTAATATGAAATTTTAAGCAATAAAAAAGGGATTATAAAATAGTAATCTCGTAGATAAAAAGTTAATAGTGGAGGCTTTTTTCCAATAAAATGCCCTAAAAATTTATATCTTTTTTTTTTTTAATTGATAACTAATAATTATGGTTAATGTTAATTAATATGTATGTTTTGGAAGGATGCTAATATAGGGAGTCTATGCTAATATATATATATATATGAAATGAATGCATCGCGATTTCTAGGAAATATAATGTCTTATATTGTTTGATTATTTTTCATTCCATTAACTTTTAGAAGGAAACGTTGGAGAATGAATTTTCCAAATATTTGTTGGCAAATAAAACCTTCTAAATCTTTTTTTTTATTTGTTGATATTTTCTTAATTTTACCTGACAGTAAAAAGTTCAAATATAATATCATAATTCGGTAGTGCAGTGGCTAAGGAGGCAATTGATGCTTTTGGCAACGGAAAATTCTGTGCTGCTCGACCGACCCAAAAAAGAATATTCTGTGCAGAAACTTCTCTTCGGAAGAGAACTTTGTATCTAATTTCTTTTATTCAGCTATAGTGCTTTCATGATTAAAAAAAAGAATGAACATGTAGTAAGTAAATGCCATATATATACATTTATAAATCAATTTGACAAG